AATTCAAGTTTAAGTGTTCATAAATAAAGTTTTATTTAAATACAACCACATACGTTTGTTCCTATATTATCTATGACTGTTTGTGTGTGACAAAGACAGAGCTGAGTACTTGCAACAGAGAGAGCATGACCCACAAAACCCAGAATGTTTCCTGTTGACACCTTTCCAGAAAAAGTTTGCAACCTTTGGTCTAAGCAATCATGATAATCCTGCTCCTGTTTTCCAAGGCTTTCTTGCAATGAGGAGTGGGCACATGTTCCAGTTCTGTCCAAAGAGAACTAAGCAGAGGTCTCTGGGGGAGACCCGCATAAAAGCATTGCTTTTCTGAAAGAAGGGGACAGCATGGCTGGGCCCGTCCTTCCTACTTCCTGCCTGAAGTGTGGATATACACTCTGGCACCCACCCAGGTATCTTCTTTCAGAGCCCATCTCTTGCCAAAAAATGCAAAAACAGAGGGTCAAGAGTTCAGTCTGGAGGGCTGGGTAGGCTGGCTGGGGTCCAAGAGAGGGGGACGGTCCACCCTGGGCACCTGTCCAGAGGATGGGTTGCTTCTCACCTAGACCAAAGGAACCATTTGGTCTAGGCTGGACTGAAGAAGGGTTGTCCACTCCCAAGAACTTGTTCGATGACTCCTGTCTGCTGGCCCAACATTGACATCTGGAGGGTTGGAAGATGGACTATCTCTGCTATGGAATCCTGGTGGCCAGCACTTCCCCATGTCTTCTGGGTTTCCCTTGGTACCCAGTTCCTCCTGTTGTAACTGAAAGATAGTAGATAATCAAAATAATCTTGGATGGTTGAGTGGATAGATAATGGCTGAATGAAGGAATGAATGGAAAATTCAGTCATTAAGAGGCTATCTTTCACACATATGAGCAAACCTGTGAGGTCACAGACTATGTGTTATTATGCCCATTTAACAGAGAAGGAAACCGGGTTCTGTAAAGCTACTTGACTTTCCCAAGGTCACAAGACTTGGAACAGATGAAGCTGGGACCCAAACCAACACTGCTTCAAGACCCTGGGCACAGGCCCCTCCTGTCTCACCTCCCCGGACATCACCTCCAGTCCATACTACACCCAATATATAGGCAAAGAACCTGCCGTCACCTCAGCAAATCATGAAAGGAACTTTGCAACCTTTGCAAATCAAATGATACAGGTCTGGGAAGCTGCCAGGAACAGCCTCTCATCCACATCCCCCAGTTCTGCTCTTGAGACTGCCAACAACACGTCACTTCCTTAACAGTACATGTTTGTAGAATGAATGAGTTCTCAGTACATATTTGTAGAATGAATGAGTTGCCTTGCATCGGTACGAATTCCTCAACAAAATCCCAGAAATGCAGGTACGATTGACATCATGTTTCTTAGCATTGCAATAGAATGCAATGTGCATTCTGGTGGCCAAATGAGCCTCCTGCCGTGCTACAGAAGCCCATGATATTCATCACCACCATCATGCAGGATCAGTTATCACGCACACTTGCTGCGTGCCACTCACTCTTCCAAGCATGCTATGTGAATGGTCTCATTTAAACTTCACAACCAACCCAGTGGTCTGGGTAGTACTGCTATCCTCATTTTATGGTTGAGAAATTTAAGGTTCAGAGAGGTTAAGTAACTTGATCAAAGCCACACAGAGATATCAGAGTCAGGTATAAACCCAAGTATTTGGTTTTTGTTTGTTTGTTTTGTTTTTTACCTCCAATAAGAGAGGAGGTGGCAGGGAAGACTTGTGTGGGATGGCTCTTGGAGGGAAAATGCCCCCTCCGTAATCTGTATGGAGGGCGGTCCAGTCCGAGGGCTGACAGGAGAAGAGAGAGCTGCTGCTCAGGGAAGCAGAAGTGGGCGGGGACATCTCGTTTGGACAGGCCTTTCCTTGTCCCGTGCCAGGCTCAGCCTTGGCAGGCTCACCCAGTGGACATGACTGTTTGTGTGTGTTGGGGGGTGGGGTAAGGGCAGTGGATTAGGAGGGGTGGGGCGGGGCTAGCTGGGTTGTGATTCCCATAGAGACGCTGGTGATTCATTGCCCCTTCCAGCGAGTGGGGCCTCGATCAGGATGTGACTTGTAGTAAACAAGTCACAAGTTGCCATCCAGGCAAGAGGGAAATGGGGAGGGACGGGTGGTGTCTCATCCTGAGCCTGGGCTTCCTGGGCTTCATAAAGCACCTACCCGAGGCCCATCCCCAGGCTGCAGTGAAAAAGTTTTCTTTGCCTGGGGTGAGGCACAATGGAAAAGGTCACTGCTGAAACCTTCTGAAGTCTTTTTCCTGGAAGGTTCCAGGACCTCCATTGCCCTGGGCCAGAGGTATAACTACCCTAGCTTGGGCCGCGAGTCCTAGTGCCCAGAGAATATCTCTCCCAGGGCTTCTCAGAGGTATGCATAGATAAGTCAACCTATGGAGTTTAGAAGAGCTGGGCTGAAAAAGAAAAGAAAAAGCTAAATCAACCTGCACACCATTAATTGGCACCTACTCTAAGTCCAGCAGGGCCCAGTGGCTGACTTGGGATGGGTGTTCAATAAAGGTGTGTTGCCCGACTGAGTAACTGAACTGGGCTCATGACTCCAGGCCAGAGGAGAAAACAGAGGAGGCACATCCCAGCCTTCAAGGAATTCAAAACCTCGCTCACAGTAATAACACAATTCACAGAACGACTAAGTGTTAAATTGAGAGACTATCCCTCGGTGCTCTAGGAATTTTAAATGGGGGCTGGGACCTTAGGAAGGCTTCCCGGAGGAGGTGGACTCAAGCTGGTTGAGTGGGGAGGCTGGAGGTAGGTCTGAGTGTGAAGGGGGTTCAAGATGAACATAGTGAGGAATGAGGCAATTGTGTGATCCTTTGGAGTGGGAAGGTTTGTAAATATCCTGCCTGATGCCCACAGGCCTGTACCACAGTTACAGGGCTTGGTTGTGGAGGTTGACCCCATGCCAGGAAATCACTGAAGACAGCTATGTCTATTATTACCTGATTTTATGGGTGAAGAAACTGTCCCATTTTATGGTGAAGAAACTGGAGCTCTAACAGGCTCAGTAAATTATCTGAAGCCACATGGATACAAAGGGGAAGAAAAATTCGACCTGCACTCTTCAACATGTGGGCTGCTAGCCATGTGTCTATTGAGTTCTTGAGATGTAGCCAGTCCCAACTGAGCTGTACTGTATGCATAAACAACACACCAGATTTCAGACCTAGTAAGAAACAAACGAAAACTATATAAAACATCTAATGTATAGCTCTTTTTAGTACTTATTATGTGTTGAAATAGTATTTTGGATATATTGGATGAAATACAATCTATCATTAAAATTACAGTTAACCTTTGAGCAACACGGTTTGAATTGAGAGGGTCCACTTATACACAGATTTTCCTCCACCTCTGCTGTCCCTGAGACAAGACCAACCCCTCCTCTTCCTTCTCCTCAGTCTATTCAATGTGAAGTTGCCAGGGATGAAGACCTTTATGATGAACCACTTTCATTTAATGAAGAGTAAATATATTTTCTCTTCCTTATAATTTTCTTAATAACATTTTCTTGTTTAATGGCAAGGCTTCTTCTGGTCAATAGCAGGCTAGTTATAGTCAAGTTTTTGGGGAGTCAATGTTATTCTTGGATTTTTGACCTCATAGGGGTTAGCACCCCTAACCCCCTCATTGTTCAAGCATCAACTGTAATTTCATTTGTTTCTTTTTACTTTTTAAATGTAGCTACTAGACATTTTTATTTTACTTATTATTTGTTTTTCTTTTTTAGGGACAAGGTCACGCTATGTTTCCCAAGCTGGCCTTGAACTCCTGGGCTCAAGTTATCCTCCCTCTTCAGCCTCCTATGTAGCTGGGACTACAGGTGCACGCCACCATGCCTGGCTAGAAAATTTTAAATTACCTATGTGGCTTGTATAATGTCTCTATTGGACAATATCCCTGCCAAGTAGCAGCGCAGCCTCAGCAGACATCTCTAGAGACGGTGTATTAGTTCATTAGGGCTGCTGCAACAGAACCCCACAGATTGAGTGGCTTTAACAATGGACATTTATTGTCTCACAGTTCTGGAAATTTATCATCTCTGGCTGGAAGTCCAAAATCAGGGTGTTGGTTCCTTCTAAGGCTCTGCTTCTCCTCTAGCTTCTGGAGGCTTGCTGGCCATCTTTTGGGATCTGTGGCTTCTACAGCTGAAAAGGGTTATGAATGCGATGCTTTCCATCACCCTGGTTCCAACCCTGCCTTTGTCTTCACATGCTGTTCTCCCTGTGTCCACATTTCTCCTCTAAAGTAGCAACACCCATCACATTGGGTCAAGGACCCAACCTACTCAACTAATGACATCTACAAAGACCCTATTTCCAAATAAGGTCATATTCTGAAGTACCAGGGGTTGGGGCTCCAACATATGAATTTGAGGGTCACACAATGCAACCCATAGCAGATGGGGGACTCCCTCCCTCTCCAGGAGCCCATTCTATATTTGGATCACCCTGAATGATCTTCCTCTGGGGCCAGCCCGGAGATCCACCAAGGAGCCTCCTTAAAATCTCTTGCAAATGCCCAGCTCCACTCTGTCAGATGGTGCCAGGGACCAGGGATACCCACATTTCTTTCCTTGGAGCCCAGGTGTGACGGGCCCCACCCTGGGTGAGACGTATCTGTTAACGATAACCACCTGGAGAGCAGGAAGGAGAAAACTGATAAGGGAGAGGAGGTTAAAAATAACCCATGAGCTGCCCGCATGACCTTTGCCCTTTGCAACTTTGATTTACAAGCAGCACAACCAGCAGATCACCTGGGTCTATGCTGGCTGTAAAACCTCATGGTTGACGCAGCTTTCGACTCAGTGGCCTGGGAATTTCCAGTCCTGTGGTGTGACCGATACACAGAGGTCAGGCGGCTGTTTTTCTTTCTTTTTTCCCTGGCAGCCCTTCAACACCTTCCTAAGAGTGGGAGGGGTTCTAGTGAGGGCTCTGACTTACCCCTCTTTGTCCCTTAAGAGGAGGGAGTTGGCTTAGGAGGACTGCACTGTCCTTCAGAGCAGCTGGGACCCAGTTCAACCCCTGTCCTAGTGTGACTTGGGAGAGCTACAGAGTTTATTTCAGCCTCGGTTTTCTCATCTGCAAAATAGGAAGAAGAAACAAGATTTGCCCTGCTTGCCCTGCCAGGTGCCAGTGAGGAGCCATCTAAGAGGGCATCTGGGCCCTGGGGTGCAAGGAGGACTGAGGTGGTCGCCAAGCCTGCCCACACCTCAGTCCCCCTACCACATTGCACATACATGAAATCTGTTCGGGGCCAGGTGTTAGTGCTTTGGGTTCCCCGCTGTCCAGGATGGGGTTCCCAGTGGAGGTGCATCAGCATCCCATGGGAGCTTGTCAAAAATGCAGACTCTCAGGCCCCACCAACCAGCTGAACCAGAATCTGCATGTTTAAACAAGATCCCCCAAGAGGTGAGTGTGCTCATTAAAGTTTGAAAAGCCTCACTTCGGTGGACATTGTTTTGCCTGTCTTGGACCCATTCCCCCTTCTTCTGGTAAAATTGATCATATTTTTTGGGGGGAGAACCATGGGCCCCAACTCTGGTCATATGTGCTTCAGTAGGGCTAATCCACTCTCCAGAACCCGGAGGGCACACGAAAGCGAGTCCCAGCCAATCCGAATCAACGCTGGAACTGTGGCTGGGCACAAGGAGCTCTCTTTACATGGCTGTTGTTCAGCTGTAGGATGGAGTCTGGAGGTGGGCTCCGCCATTTTGGTCATGATTGTGAGAATCTAAGAGTGGAACCCTCGAAAAGAGGAGTGGAAGAGGGGGTGTGTGTGTGTGTGAGAGAGAGAGAGAGAGAGAGAGAGTGTGTGTGTGTGTGTGTGTGTGTGTGTGTGTGTGTGTGTTTAAGAGACAGAGGAGGATTCCGGATCACATCTACTGAGCTTCCGTCTTTGTCCAAATTCAGATCGACTTCCTGGCTTTTCAGTGCGTGTAAGCCAATCATGTAAGACCCAAGGAGCAGGTCTCGTAGGATGTGATGACTCCTGCAGGAGGCAGGTAAGAGGATATCTGAGCAGGCAGATGACAAGGGATGAGAGTGTTAATGCTAAAATAACTGGCAGTGAAAGACATTTCAGGCAGGTGGTCCTACTTGAATTCCCCCTTCCAAACACATCTGTGGTGCAGTGTGTCCCATTCCTGGAGCCAGGCCTGACCTGCCCAACCTGCCTTGCCCACCACCCCCATCTCCAGGCTTTTGCTAGGAGCTCTGGACTCAGAAGCCCAGGCCAGCTTTGGCATCGCATTGCCTGGACATTTCCCTGCTTCCAGGCTGGAAGCCCCAGGAGAGAGGAGGCTATGGCCCAGGGCTGAGGACAACAGCCGGGGCCCAAGGCTGTTTATGGAAAAGCCACAGCTCCATTGTATAGACCTGTAGACAGAAGGGTAAACTCAGAGGAAATGAGTTGCCTCCATGCACACGCTGATAGCCAGGTGCTCTGTCTACCCCGCCAGGCCCAAACTGGGTTCCCCAAGACAGTGACCAACCTTCCGAGTTTGATAAGGACTGAAGGGGATTCAGGACATCAGCCAACCAGGATGAGTTTGATCGCCTATTCCCAGAGGTTTCCAGAGCGTGCGTTGGGACAGGCAGGAGTGGTAGGGTGGGAGTCCTGGGATGCCAGGTCGGGATGGGAATCCCCCTGCCTCCGGGAAGCATGGGGTCTGCTCCCAGGGCTGCTTTCCCAGAAGCCAGAGCACCCTCGCCCCTGCAGGGCTTAGAGGGGGAGTACTGAGAAGGAGGGATGGAAGAATCTAGGCATGAGTATGCATGCATATGTCTGTGTGTGTAGAGATCTCGTGGGTGTATGTGTGCGTGCGCGCACGCCTATGTGTGAGTGGTCATATGAGTGGCCAAATGAGAGGCAGTGCCCGATGTGAACCTGCTGGGTATGAAACGTGAGAACTGTGATAATCACCTGTGGACTCCGTGGGCCAGGGCTGAGTCTCTGAGGGGGCAGGTGTCTGCGTGTGAGGGGAGGGCAGGCTGGGAGTCCCCTTTGCATCTATGAATCTGCCGTGCGTGTGCGCTGCGGGTGGAAGTGGAGCAGTGGGAGGTGTGTGTGGTGACTTACCTGCTGCCTATGGGAACTGGTTCTGTGTGGTCATTCTGTGAGTCTGTGTCGGCTCTGGGGGTTGTGATGGGAAGTATTGCTGTCTTCGTAACTCTGTTTGGGGCGTATGGATGAGCACTGGGTGTGTGCGCAGGGGAGGAACCTGCTGCCTGTGGAATCCACGTGTGGGTCGGGGGCCTGTGGGCTGGGCAGCAAGTGCCCACAGTGATGTGAAAATACGGTGTCAAGTGTGAGCCCATTGAGTGGATGGACAAAGCTGTCCCTCCACACTCAGGCCCGGCATTGTCTCCCTCACTGTCTGCCCTGAGAGCAGCAGGAGTTCCCGTCCCAGGGCTCACATTGTCCTCAGTTAATTTCAGTTAATCCTGGTTAATATCCCTGCCTGGGGGAATTTAATGTGCTCCTTCGGGCTTCTTCCCCATTAGACCTTCTCAGAGTTAAGGAAGCAGCAAACTGCTTGGCAGCACAAAGCCCCTGGGCCACATTTGCCACTGTTTTTTAGAAGGAAAATTGCTGGCAACACTTCCATCCTCCGCTTCCAGAGACAGCGGCTTTCCACACCGATGTGTCTTCATGCCAAGGCGGACGCCTGGGAGCACCCGACGCTTCCTCGGCATTGCCATAAATCTGGGGAATGTTAGAATGATAGAGCCATGTGGCCCAATTGCGAAAGGCAGGGGCGGGGGGATCTCCCTGAGCCTTTGTGAGAGGCTGAGAGGAAGCAAGGCAGGGAGGAGATAGGAGGAGGAGGGCAGGCAGGGAAGGAACGTCAGGACAAAAGAGGAGGCAGGCAGAGGGGGCGCCCTGTCTGGCAACAGAGTGACATGGCTGAGTGCTGAGCCTCTAGCAAGGGTCTGGAACTAGGACTTGTTGGGAATGTGCTGTGAGCCTGAGGAAGGAGGGGGACAGGAAAAAGCCCATAGAAGAGGAAGGGTCCATAAGCTCTGCCAGGAAGCTACCACCAGGAGAGGACAGGGGAGGGGTCTCTCTCACCCATGCCCCTTTTGTGACTCCCAGATCTTCTCACCTGTGAGTTGTCAGGTTAGAAGTAAAAGCCTCACTGACTTAAGTGAGTCACTTAAACTGCTTTAGACTCCACCAGGCACCAGCCCTACTCATTCCTGAATCCCTCATCCCAGCCAGAGATGGACCTCAGCAGAGAAAGGGTCTCACCCTTCCTGCCAACCTGAGAGGGTTGACTAACACTGGGGGCAGACAGTGCTTACTGGACCACACCTCTTAAAACACAAAGCCTGCCATGGTCGACAGGGCCACTCCCCCAACCCAATTGCCAAGCTGCTGGGCAAAGCGTTGCCAAATGACTTTCTCCCCATAAAGTCCGTTGGGGGAAACTCGGAGGAAATAAATTTCCTCTCAGTATGCCATGGATTGACTCAGGCTAGCTTCCCAGTGGTCCATAAAATAATAGCAACATTTATTGGGTTCTTGATTTTGTGCCAAGTGCTATTAAGTAGACCTTAAAGAGAAAGGCTATTAGCATCTCCATTTCTTAGAAGAGAGAGGGCAAGTAACTCTGCCAGCTCACATATACTGGGAAACCCCAGGGCCAAGATTGGAACCCAAGCAGTTTACCACCAGACCCCTGCCACAGGTGACCCTGCCTCTTGAGAAAAGGTAGTTTTTGATACCGGTGGGAGGGGGGTTAAGGAGAGTCCCCAGGAAGCTGAGCCACAGAGCAGGCACTCTTGGAAGACTTGAGCCCCAGAGTGGGCTCCCTGAGACAGCACCGCCAGGATTTTGGAAAAGTCAGGTGCAGTGGGGATAGTCCTAGAGGGAGAGAGCTTGGCCTGTAGAGTTGTATCTGCAGGATAGGAGACTAAGGAAGGACCAAAACCCCGGGGGATGAGGGCTTGGGCCTGGGTTGACTGGCCAGTCAGTGCCTCCAGAGCAGCAGCTGTCCACAGAGCTAACCCAGGTGGACCTCACTGCAGCCTGTCACTGGCGCCCCAAAGGTCCCTCGCTCTGTAGGCAAACCTGGTGTTCCAACAAGTTGCAGAGCCTGCACCCGTCTGGAGAGGGCTCCAGGGCTGGGGACCAAAAAAGCTATGATCTCCCAGACAGGTCTTTGGAGGAAGAGCTAGAGAGTCCTTGGGTGATGATAGAAAAAAAAAAAAAAAAAAAAAATCCCAGCACCATTGTTTTACTTAAGGCTATCCTGAGATTCTGCCATATTAGTATACAGAGGCCCTCCTTACACTTTTCCACAGCTGCATAGTATTCTGGTGTGTGGACATCCCATAATTTATTTAGCCAGATCCGTCTTAGTGAACATTTAGGTTGTTTCCTGTCAAGTTGTAGGATGAGTTCCTAGATATAGCAGTACCAACTAGAAGAGTGCAGGCCTTTATCCTTTCACTAGATGTTGCCACCAAGCCCTCCACAGAATGTTGGGCCAGTTTCTCCTCCCTGACTCGCCAACAGCATTAGCAAACATTTTGGTCTTTTGCAAACAGACAGGTGAAATACGGAGTCTCAGCGTAGCTTGAATTCTCATTGCTCTTATTAGAAGGTGGATGAGCACCTTTCTACGTTTAAGAGGCAGTGGTATTTTGTGTGGGGTTTCCATCTGTCCCTTCAAGGAACTTTATTATTTATTTTGTTTTTCTTTCTTTCTTTTTAGAAATGGGAGCCAAATCCATTGGTGTAGATGATGAAATTCTGGGCAGCCATTAAAAATGATGAATACTAATAAAAGTAATTATAAAATGCATGGAGGGCACACTATGTACCAGGCCCAGTTCTGAGTACTTCTCACAAAACGACTTCTTTAATCCTCACAGTATCTTCATTTGACATGTGAGGAAATTGAGGCACAGGGAACTTGCGCAAGGTCACACAACTAGTAAGATGCCTGTGACATATTGTTAACAGAAAAAAGCGTGTAAGAAAATAGTACATGTAACTAATCTGTGTAACTTTAGATATATACTTTTGTAAATAGATACTTCATTTTAGCACAATTAGTCTTACGATACTTTCTAAAATGTGGAAAAGAATGTTTATTTTTCTAATACTGATTCGAGTTTTGTTTCCATATTGATTCTTTCCTTACTTGTTGATTTCACAAGAGAATAAATTATTCCACATACTTAAAAAAAAACTATAGTATGACTTCATTTTTTAAAATTTAAAAACAGATGCATGCATCCACCCATGCACACATGTATCTACCACAGTAGATACGTATCAGTGGTTCTTTCTAGGTCATGGTATTGGAGATGAATTTTATTTATTGATTTATTTAAGACAGGGTTTTGCTCTGTTTCCCCGGCTGGAGTGCAGTGTGCAATCATGATTCACTGCAGCCTTGACCTCCCAGGCTCAAGCAATCCTCCCACCTCAGCCTCCCGAGTGGCTGAGACTACAGGTGCATGCCCCACACCCAGCTAATTTTTGTAGTTTTTGTGGAGACAGGGTTTCACCATGTTGCCCAGGCTGGTCTCAAACCCCTGGGCTCATGCAATCCATCCACCTTGGCCTCCCAAAGTGTTGGGATGACAGGCGTGAGCCATTGCACCCAACCTCCATTTTAATTTACTTTCGTTTTTCCACAGTTACCTTTAAAAAAAGAGAAACATTGAACATATGCTATTTGTACAACAAGAAAAAAACCATGGTCTCATCTTTAGTCTTAGGGTGAGGTACCCCCATTTTAAGCCTGAGGTGACAAGTGGGGATGGCAGCACAGAACTGCGGCCAGCGCTGAGGGTTTGGGTTGGCTGTGGGGCCTTCCTTGTCTTGCAGTTGGAGGTGGCAATAGATCTTACTAGAGACCAGTGGGGTACCTCCCCAGCCACCTCTCAGGAAGCCATAGTTTTTGCCTGTTTCCGGAAGGTGGTAGAAACTGGGGCTGCTGTGGACACAATCCTTGCACACTCTACCTAATGATAAGACTCTAGAAAA